TAGTTGAGAAGGATGCTTGCCTATGTAAACTACTGGTTAGGGTGGGAAAGGTCGAGGAGTAGAAGGAAGTGCATGAGATCATTGTTTCTAAATTTTTGTTTTTCTTCTTCCTGTATCTTGGGAGAGCAGGGAGACTAGGGGAAGCCACACCCAGCATCCTGTGTCAGTACCTGGGGATGAGGAATGCCCACCCAATGTCTTCCCAGGTTTCCCAATGTGGAGCATGCTCCATTCTGCTCAAGTGGTTTTGATAATTCTGAAATGCTGTTGATTTTGCCAATCCAAGGATCCATTGGCTGACACAGTCCACCTTAGAGTCTATATTCGCCTAGATATTTGCTGTCAAGCTTGGCTAGGGTAGTTGTCAAATTTGTTCTAAAAAAAGGATAACATTTCAGCAGCCAAATATGAAACACAAAGGAAATGAAACCAAAAGCAATTGCCTGGTTCTGAACTATGCTTTTTAAAATTCCTGTTATTCAAGGTAAATGATAGCTGAGCCTTCCTGTCCTTTAGCCTCTCCAGAACTCTTGAGTCAGACAGAATGAGTTGGCATGTGAAGTCTTAGTTAAAATGTTTTAGGAATTTTAACTTTGGCGTTTTTCTCGTAAAAATTGTCTCCAAGCTTTCTACTTGCTCTTTTCAGGGAAGGCTTTATTTAGTAGTTTTTCTTTTTGTGAACTTACCTTTTAGTTCCATTTTCCATGAACTTTTCAAGTTTTATTGATTTATTTGAGAAGCAGAATGGCAGAGGGAGGTAATTCATCCACTGGTTTACTCCCCAAATGTCTACAACAGCTGGAACTGGGCTAGGCAGAAACCAGGAACCAGGAACTCCATCTGGGTATCCCAGCAGGGATGGCAAGAACCCAAGTACTTGAGCCATTATTGGCTGCCTCCCAGGTGGGTTAGCAGGAAGCTGGGTGGGAAGGTAGAGGTGGGGCTTGATTCCCCACACTTCAATATGGACTGTAGGTTTCCTAAGCCTACATAACCAGCTATGTCACACATCTACTCTTGGGGGCAACTTCAGCATATTCAGTATTATGCAAGTCTGGCATTTTGGAGAAGAGTGAACTGAGGAAGGTATTGTTTTGGTTTTAGTTCTGCTCTTTCACAATGCTCCTTTAAGACACAAAATGACTTATCTCCTTTTTGAGCAAAATTCAGGAAGATTTTGCTTATGACATCCAGGTCATGAAAGTCATTGAAAGAATTCATCTTGTGACTATGTCTTACTAATTTATGTGGTCTAATGGTTGCATTTGAAGCCAATTAGTCACCTCTCCTGACATTTGTTCTTGGTAATGGTTCTCTTAGAGTTTCCTGGATCTTGTGATTGAGATGGAGAAACTAAAGCTGGTTGCTCCAGATCAACTGGATTTATTAGAAAAATGCCTAGAGACCATCCACAGAATAGACCTGAAGACAAAAATCCAGAAATACAGGCAATCTGGTAAGAATAGTCTTGGACTCTTGGTGGCCTTGTAAGGGCCTTGTATATATTTGGTATGGTTGGTTGATTTCATTTGTTGGATGGGTGTGTGGAGTGGAACAAGAAGTCCCACATCCCTCTGTAGCCTGTGGCTTCCAGATCACATCCTTCTAGATCCTTCATATTCCAGAGTGACTGACTCCCCTGCCCCTTATGACCATCACCTTAGCCATCTGCAAAATGCCTCCAGTCATGCTGGCTTTCAGGAGAGAGCCTACACCTCTGTTTTCTGCACAGGCAGGCAGAACTGTTGGCACTCAGGGTTTTTAAGTACTTGCTGAGCCCCGTTTCCTTGCTCCAATACTTAGTCTAATGACCACTGCTCCGTATAAGGGTAGAGTCAATTGAGGTTCCATGGCAGCCCTGCATGCGCCCTGCCTTTCATAAAACCTCCTTATGGAATGGGCTTTGTTGATTAGACCTTCCCCCGACCCCACTCCTCCCCTGCCTTTACCTTGAACCTTGACTTGGGCTTTGTTAGCCCTTCCCTGCTTCCATAGCATCGTGGCTGAGAGCCAGTGGTGCACCCCTTACCCCCCCAGACTCCAAATGACTAATAAAAGGCCAAGAACAGGAGTGACATTTTTAGTCCCTTCTTAGTGAACCATTATTTGTAATTTGGTAAGGTGGTCAAGAAGGTTTTGGGTGCTTTAGGAGATGGTGATTTGGGTGTTTTCAGAGATTCAGAAATGTCAGATTGAGACACTGTTGAAGAGTTGATTGTAATGCATAAATCTTAATTCCAGACCTCTTGTCTGCTTGTCGAGCTCCAAGAGTGGGAGCAAATTATACCAATGGTGTTCACGCCTCTCTCCTGAACTTGACTCTCAAAGATCCTTCATGTAACTTAAGGGTAAGTTTGGAGCAAATGTATGGGATCCCAGCAATTTAAACTCTATTTTACTATCTGAACCAACTGTGATACAAATGTATATTTGTTTCAAAAATATGCATACCTACTTATGATTACAAAACTAATATGTGTCCTTTGATATATTTGGAGAATATAGAGAATTATAAAAGGAGGAAACTAAGTCCATTGTGTCCAAAAGACAACCACTGTTCATATTTTGTTGTACTTTCTTCTGGTCTCTTTTCTTTGTATGTTTGAATGTATGTCTTTTTGTGTAGTTATATTAACTTTCATTGTTTATTTTTTCTTTGAAAGTATAATTTTTTTTTGAAAGACAGATATACAGGAAAAAGAGGCAGAAAGATCTTCTGTCTGCTGGTTCACTCCCCAAATGGCTGTAATGGCTGGAGCTGAGCTGATCCAATGCCAGGAGCCAGGAGCTTCCTACTGGTCTCCCACAAAGGTGCAGGATCTCAAGGCTTTGGTTATCCTCTACTGCCTTTCCAGGGATCTGGAAGGGAAGTGGAGCAGCTGGAACATGAACCTGTACCTCTGTGGGATCCCAGTGAATGCAAGGTGAGGACTTAGCCACTAGGCTATCGCACCAGGCCCCAAAATTTAACTTTTAAATACATAGAAATTGCCTATTGACAAAAAAATTTAAAGTATCATAAGAGCTTTTTTAAAAAAGTTTTTTTTCCTGCCTACTTCTTTTTTTTTTTTTTCCTGCATACCTCTGTTGTACCATTCCTTAAAGTGTTTTCCCAGAGGCAAGCATTGTTAAGCAGCTTCTTCTGTAATCTGCAAGTGATAGTCTGTGGTCATATCTTTCGTTTCTTTTATACAAACGGTAGTACAACATTCTGATTCATTCAAAACTGTTTCTCATTATTTTTAGTGACTGAGTGTAATTGCATCTCTTAGAAAGAGTACACATATTTAACCCTTTCTTGTTGATGTGTCTACTGTTTGCGTATGTCATTATAAATGATGATGGAAAATAAGTATCATCGTATGCTTATCTTCATGCGTTTGCTTTTTATTGAGCTTGTTTTAACTCAGCAAGAATTATTTTGTTATTGAGGGATGAAAGTTCTTTTGTTGTAGCTCATTGATATAAATATCATATAGTCATTTACATTTGTTGTGATAGATTTAGGCACTACCACGTATATTCAGAAGTTTTCTTGGGTTGATCATTTGTCTTGTAAAATTATTTTTTATGTAAATTTATCATTATCTCCACAAAAAGTTCTGTTGAATTTATAATGAGGAATTAGGCCAGAGTATAATTTCATGGTTAGATTATAAACCCTTTGATAAAATGATGCTATGAAAACATTAGTAACTCCTGTAACATCACTGGCTTTTTGGAGGATATGAGCTTAAAAAGATATCACTGAGCAATAGAATTTGAGAGATTAAATGATATTAAGGGAGTCTGGCATGGTAGCCTAGTGGCTAAAGTCCTCGCCTTGCATGCATCAGAATCCCATATACGAGATGGTTAGTATCCTGGCTACTTCACTTCCCATCCAGCTCTCTGCTTGAGGCCTGGGAAAGCAGTAGAGGATGGTCCAAAGCCTTGGGACTCTGCATGTATGTGGGAGACGCAGAAGAAGCTCCTGTCTTCTGGCTTTGGATCAGCTCAGCTCTGGCCCTTGCAGCCACTTCGGGGAGTGAATCAGCAGCTGGAACATCTGTCTCTCTGTCTCTTCTTCTTTCTATAAATCTTAAAAAAAAATCGAAGGAAAAGTGATGTTAAGGATTATACTGCCAGCATCCTCACGGAACATAGCAGGCAGACCTAGGCACAAAGAACATTAGGTGATTGTCTACTTCTACTAGCTGACCGAGTCCTGCTCTGCCAGTATACAGCTGACAAACCATGCAGGAATCAGATAATAGCTTAGATACATCTTTTTTTTTTTCTAAAAAAAAAATAATGTAGGCTTTATTTTCTCTGAGTCTCCATGATACCAAATCATGAGACTAATCTGGATTCACATTCAGATTTTCTGAGTTTTGTCTGTTCTAGTCTACCTAATAGAGATTATGCTGTCGTCATTAGTTTAAAAACTGTCATATGTTCTTACACTCTATTTCTGTTTTGAATGTGAAGTTACGCATGTCCATCGTCTCTGGGAACTCATATACGTCATGTATCAATTTCTACTGAAATTTGCTCCATGTAGTGTATCCCTCGTCACTCCCTCACTTGGAGAGCAAGCACTGTGGCATATGAATTTGGTGAATTCCCCCACAAGATTTAAGCAATGAATACCTAGGTGTTAACTCAAACAATGCTATAAAAAAAATAAAACAGCATTATATGACACAGGTTACCAAGATATTACTGAACAAAAAGTTTGTATGATGCTGCAATACTGCCTTTAAAATGTAGCCTTGATTTGTAGTTCTCTCTTTAAAAATTTTTTAACTTTAATTTTTAGCAGATTCAGTATGATTTAGATCAAGTGTAAGAATGTGCTGGTATTGCCTCCTCCTCCCTTATGCCTTCCCTGCTTCCCTTTTCCTAATCCCTTTCTTTCATTCTTTCTTTGTTATTGAGGTAGCATATTTTAAATTTACACTACAGCAAAAAACCTTAATATTTCACCAAATAAGAAGCTTAACAAATAAAATTTTTAAAAATCCCTACTTTAGTAAGAATACAGACTGGCCATAAATGATAATGAAAATGGAAAATGATCATTTCTCTTTCTGATAGTGTGTTAAAGTGAATGTACATCTGTATGGGATGCTGGCATTGCGGGTGGTGGCTGTGCTTGCTGCACCACAATGCTGGGCCCATTGTCCTCATTTCACAGATGAGGAGACAGACCTGGAGCCGGTGAATAACTTGCTCGAGGTTTCCTAACTGGGAAGAGGCACAATCAGGAGTCAGAAGCAGGTGTGTCTGACTTTTAGCTCCCACTCATGACCATACTACACTTCATTCCTGTGTTAAAGGAATAAGGTGTCAATCTCACGCCTTAAAAAGTCGCTTCAGTTTTGGTACTCCTGTAGCAACTATGCTATTACATTTGGTTTTATTGAGTTGTTTTGAAACATTCTAATATGCTGATTTAGTATATCTATATGTTGATTGCATTTTTTTGCTTTTTAGAAAAAGTAATCTGTTTGTTGGCAATAAGATGGGACTTATGGAATTTAGACTACTTGTTGTTCTTTGTTAGGCAACTTAACTGTGAAGGTGGTATTTTTATGTTTTTCCCCGAGGAAGAATCCTATTGAGATATTTAAAGAGGTGAGATAGTGTGTGCCTCTAAAAAGGAAACTCACAGGCAATGTGACCTTATTCTTTCTGTTTGAAGCTACAGAATGGAAGAATTAAAGACCAAAGGCTTGTGGAACAACTTGGCATTCAAAGTAAGACCAAATTTTCTTTATAGTTACTCCTTCCTTGTAAATGCTTGATAATTCAAGTACATAATGTTGCCTTTTTACGGTTGGCAGTTTCCTGTATCTAAATATTCTAATTAATTTTTCAAGCACATTTACTGGCTTTCCTAGGTATCAATGGGATACACTTATTTAAATGTGAACACCAGCTTGCTCTATTTTTATCATCTTGATTTTGTTTCCAAGAGATGTTATGTTTATTCCTGAAATGAAGCTATAACCAGGCTGTGTTAAATAGTAATCCGATCATGATAATAAACTGTGTTAAACCAAATACTGAGTGGCAGTAAGAAGGAAGGTCAACAGGTTCTCACGGAATAAGGCTAAAGGATAGATGATACTCCCAAAGAGAAAGAAAAAAGAAGAATCACAATAGAAAACCTTGGTCGTTCCTACCCATAGGACCTCTGTCTTCTCTTGGGGAAAATGTCTGCTCTTGAACCCAGGGTGTCATCTTGTAGACATTTATTTCCGGGACTTGTGTTGAATGATCAGCATGTGGCCAGAGACTCAGTCACACACTGAAGGGGCAGAGGCTGTGCCTCACTGGGCCAGGAAGCATTGTCTGGCAGGCTGCTGGCTGGCAGCTTGGAGGGCACCTGTGTGATGTGGATGAAGGCGGTGATGGCCCCCACGCCCGATCACTATCCTGTTGGTGGGCTGATGGGCCGCTGTTGCCCCTGGAATCTGGGCAGCATTTTGTCCAGGTGAGCTGGGTGGTACAGTTTGTACCTGTCATTCTGCTCTAGCAAAGACTACTAAGAAGTGAATAGATACTGTAAGTTATATCATATTTCTTTTATTTATTTAGTTAAACCTGATGGCCAATATACACTTGCTCATATAACGATAGGTGGAATATAACTTAGGCTACCAACACTTGGTGATCTTATTAGAAAACTTTTACCTGCAGTTTCTTGGACTTGATTTATTTATTACTAATAAAAAGCTTCTGAGAATTTGATCTTAGTCTTATGGGAATTTAAGCTATTCGAAACAGGTATTCATATGAATTTGGATTTGCCAATAGATGTCTTTTTTTTAAAAAAAGATTTATTTATTTTTATTGGAAAGGCAGATATACAGAAAGGAGGAGAGACAGAGAGGAAGGTCCTCCATCCAATGGTTCACTCCCCAAGCAACCACAACAGCTGGAGCTGAGCCAATCTGAAGCCAGGAACCTCTTCCGGGTCTCCCACGTGGGTGCAGAGTCCCAAGACTTTGGGCAGTCCTTGACTGCTTTCCCAGGACACAAGGAGAGAGCTGGATGGGAAGTAGAGCTATCGGAATTAGAACCGGTATCCATATGGGATCCTGGTGCATTCAAGGCAAGGACTTTAACCACTATTCTATTGTGCCAGGCCCTCTCACTAGATTTCAACTGAAAGATTATGATGATGATAAGTAAAACTTATCGAGCTTTTGTTAAATACTTTTAAAATGAGATATGTCACAAAGATTATTTTGTAAGTTTTGCTTATTTTGTGAATATTCATGATAAAGTACAAAAGGTAAAGTGAGATTTTCTCTTAATTCTAAATGTCAGAGACAGTACCTGTAGACTCTTTTATGTTTAAGTATGTATATATGCGTGAGTATATGCCTACAAATATATACTTTTTTAAAACAAGATTTATTTATTTGAAAAGCAGAGTCAGAAATGTTTTCAGGGAGACACAGACTTTTTTTTTTAAGATTTTTTTTTTTATTGGAAAGTCAGACACAGAAAGATCTTCCATCTCTTGGCTCATTCCCTAAGTGGCCACAACAGCTGGAGCTGAGCTGATCTGAAGCCAGGAGTCAGGAGCTTCTTCCAGGTCTCCCACAGGAGTGCATGGTCCCAAGGCTTTGGACCATCCTTGACTGCCTTCCCAGGCCACAGGCAGGGAGCTGGATGGGAAGTAGGGCAGCCAGGATTAGAACCACTGCGCATATGGGATCTTAGTGGTTGTAGCGAAGACTTTAGCCATTAGGCTACCACACTGGGGCCTAACATTCATTTTTGTACTCATGTTTATAATTAGAATAGACTTCTAGAAATAGAATGTTCAGTACAGGATATAGGCTACTACCCTTAAAAAAATAACAAAACTCTTAACTTACCCAGCAAAAGCATTCACAAGCTCGTTTTTCCTAAGCATTACCAGTATGGGCATTTCCTTTGCCAGTTCTCCTTTTACAATGCTCTTACAGGCAGATGTTAGTACTTCCGTTTCCAGTTGAGTAACCCATTGAAATTTGAAGAGGATCACAGAGTTTGTTAGGACACAGTGCTAGGGTTTGAGCCAGCCACTTTGTGGTTTCTAAAACTGGTGTACTCCACTTCCCTCAGCTAGTCAAGTTGTAATCTGGCCAAATTTGCGTTTGGCTCCTCTATATTGGCTGGTCTTACTATTTTCTAACTTGCCACTAACGAAGTTCCCTCATTGTCTCCTCGTGCCCCTGGATTGTGGGGCTTTGGTCATCTGTTCTGAGGGGCCAGCTCACATGCACCTCCATTTCTCCACCCTAAACTGTTCCCCATGGGTGTCATCTGTGACTTTGGCTCGCTGGAGGAAGCTGTCAAGACTGTTGGGTGGTGAGGTTACTAGGGACTCTGCCCAATACAAAGTCCTGAGTCTATTCTGCCAGTTAATCGCTGTTTTTTGTTCCTTGTATGGGAAGAGACATGGAAAGGATTCTTGCACTTGCTTTTTAAAAATGTATGGTTTCCACTTAGCCTCTGGGTTGCAATGTGGATTTGTGTTTTCTTATTAGGTTCTTCTGTACTGTTTGTAAACATTTAGTTTATTTTTATTTGAGAGTGAAACACAGAGAGAGGGAGACAGATCTTCCATTTGCTGGGTTGTTCCCCAAATGGCCTCAATGGCCAGGGCTGGGTCAGGCAGAAGCCAGGAACCAGGAACTTCTTCCAGGTTCTCCCATATGAGTTTGAGGACTCAAGGCCCTGGGCCATTCTCTGCTGCTTTCCCAGGAAGCTGGACTGGCTGTGTAGCCACTGGAACTCACACTGGTCCCCATATGGGTTGCTGGCAGCTTAAGCTGCTACACTATAGCACCAACTCCAGGTTCTTCAGTTTTAGTTTGGAAGCTTGGGGCTGAGAAGAGCTGAGGAAGGAAGAAATCCTTGTGGAAATGAGGGAAAAGAAGCCATGTGATGTCAACACCCTCGGGCAGCTTGGGTGTGGGCTTAGGTCTCCTGCAGCCTGCTACATGACTGCTCTCTCATCCTCAGGAAGGCCGGTGAAGAAGTCCGTTCAGGAATCAGGAGCCTCGGTGCCTCAGGTATGGTGTAAATGAGCTGATTTGGTCCTGTGTGGAATGCACAGTATGGGTGCAGAACAGTGACTTTAAAATGACCTGTGTGAGAAGAGTTCCTTGTGACAATGAGACATCAGGAGCTCCCTGAGCAGGGGACCTTGAATGTGGTGAAGAGGAAGGAGATTAAAGTGGATGCAACAATGATCTTTGGAACACAGGGAATTTCTGAAGTGCCATCCAGCTGAGTGATTGCTGAGCCCATGAGTGGGCAGCCACATGACTTTGAACTTTCACATATTCCAACCTTTGTTTGGGGTGATGCCTTTTCTCCATAAGAGGCCACAGAAGGTCACACTTTGTACTGATTTGGCAAGAGACCGCTTGTGTTGCTTCAGCTTCATGTGGCGATATAGGAACCTTTTTTGTTTCAAATTACTTTTATCCTACAAAGCTCAAGGATGCATAAAGAGACTGAAATTTTTGTTGAAGAAATTGGAATAGTTCATTAGTCTTAAGCACATTTCCTTAATAGTGGACAAATTGGTTTAAAGGAAAATGTCAGTTGCAATGACTTCATGGTGACTCACCTGCTGAAGGGGTGTTTAAGGAAATTCAGTTGAAAAGCTGTTGGATGGGGGGAACTTACGAAAGTAGAGCAGTATGTAGAGTATTTAACAACCCATGCCTTCCATTCCAGCACCTAACAGAAGAGAGATACAGGATGCGGAGCAAGCCCCTGGGAATCTGCCTGATAATTGATTGCATCGGCACTAACATAGGTATGTGTGGAAGCAAAAGGTTAACAGAAGTCCCCACCTGAGGTTACAACAGACTAATCGTGTGTGATTAACCCCAGCTGCCCTAACACATCACAGCAGACAGTGACGTGTGTCTCCTCCTGTATGTCACAGCCCAGTGTAGACTGGATTGCGTGAACTTTGGTCCATGTGGCCATTGAGTAGCTTAATCCTCATCTGAAGCCTTGAATCCTCTGCAGGGTCCATTGTCCGATGGGAGGATGGTAGAGAGGATGTGTGAGGATCTCGTGATGACTTGCTCTGAAGCTAGATTGGAATGTAGTCACTGTCCCCAGCTGACTTCAGAGGATGTGGATTAGTTGGTCCAGTCCAGTGTCAGGAGAGTGAACTGATTTGAGGAATATGTAGCCTGATCTCTGGCACCTGCTGGATGATGTAGGAGAGCTGGTGAGCTGCGATCCTGCATTTGCATCCTAGATGGTGGGGCAGGGTAGAGTCTTGAGACCCAGGGGACGTTTGCAGTGTGGGAGGCCCTCTGACTTCAGACTTTCTCAGGTGCCCCGTGGCTTACCTGTGGACTGTGAATGTGGGGACATTAGCACATGAGACTGATGTATGTTCACTAAGAGGGCTGGACATCATCTGATCCGCTTGGGTGTCACTTGGGTTTCCTGTCCTTTACTTTGGTTTTTGGCCTGAGTTTGTTTCACCAGTCTGTCACTATTGTTTGTATTTGGATGCCTTACTTAAACGGGCAAGGTATCAAAAGAATGACAATGTTTAATTATTTATCTCTTCCTTAGAAAGATTGATCATCATTTTTCCAAATTTTTCTAATTTCTCAGCAGTTTCTTAGAATACATCAGAATATCTTTTAAGATCACGTAAAATGTTATCACTGGGTTTCTAGGAAGAGTGTCTGAGAGAAGTGAACAAATATGAGACTGAATTTCCCAGGATTTCTAGTGTGACCCTATATTTTGTTAGTGAGAAATGTCCTCATCTCAGCCATAGATAAGTGCCCTGTCCATGCTGGCCATCAGTACACAGTATGAATGGGGATGTATTTACTCAGTGAGTCACTTCCTCTCAGACTGTCCTCCATCCGTGCTGGCAGTCAGTTTTGTCACATTCCTCAGTGCTGACACTCCCAAGAGCACATGATGCTGTCTGTTGGGCTTGTTACCTTTTTCTTTTAGGGAGAATCAAAAGATAAAAGTGTCCTTGGCCGTGACCTGGAAAACTGCCGTTTGTGGCTTGGATCCACAGGTCATGCATGTTTCCACACTGGGTTGGGGTCCCTTGCAGGCTGGGGTGGTGGAAGGCTCTGCATTCCAGGAGCATGAGCAGGGCTGGGGCATGACGACAAGGGGATGGAATGAACAGCTCTTCCTTGTATCATAGTTCGTGACTCTGGGCAACTGTTCAAGACACTTTAGTACTCAATTTCTTTTTTAATAAAGTAAATTAATAATAGGCCCTACCTTTTAGCAAGGCTGGGCAGAGTGAGGGAGTCCATATTTGTAAAACGCTTAGGACTGTGGCTGGAAGTCAGATTGGCTGGAGCTGCACTAATCTGAAGCCAGGAGCCAGGAGCTTCTTCTGGGTCTCCCATGTGGGTGCAGGGTTCCAGTGCTTTGTGCCGTCTTCAGCTGCTTTCCCAATTCACAAGCAGGGAGCTGGATGGGAAGCAGGGCTGCTGAGATTACAATCAGCACCCATATTGGATCCTGGTTCATATAAGGTGAGGACTTTAGCCACTAGGCTACTGCACCAGCCCACCTTTATTTACTTTTAAAAATTTATTTGAGAGAAAGAGAGAGAGAGTGAATTCATGAGACCACTCTTATCCACTGGTTCACTTCCTAGGTGCTTGGCAGTGGCTGCTTGTGCTGAAGCCAGGAGCTAGGAATTCAATCCAGGTCTCCATATGTGTAATGAGAACCCAACTACTTCAGTGTCTCTGCTGCCTCCTAGGGTGCTCATTAGCGGGAAGTCAGAATTAGGAGCTGGAACTAGAAACTGAACCCAGATAGTCCCATGAGGGTTGCTGGTATTCTAGATGGCAGCTCTACCACCAGCTCAGCCACCTGCCCTTGCTTGTTTAATTTTACTTGCAAATCCTCAGCAAGCACTTGTTGTGGCTTTGGCTTGCTTTGTGGAGTCTGGCCTCAGACAAGTAAGAGGTCGAGAATCCGGGGACTAGAGATCTGCATGGGCTGCCAGGGTGGGACCACATCCCCACACACTGCATCACACTGGAATGGAGGCTGATAACCTGAGAGATTATAATAAGGGGCAACCTTTTGGGATCTATTCCTGTTAGTCATCAATCTGAATGGCCACAACAGAGGAGATTTTAAGTATGAAATCTGAGATACAGAGCAAAGAGACTGATCAGAGAGAAAGCTACAAGAGGAGTGTAGAATTGGAAGTGGAGTTTGTGCCCCTTATCTTTGGCCCAGGAAGTGAGCATGTGTTGGCTGCGTGTGTATTGGTACCTCTGTGTTCTGCTTATGTGGCTACTGATGAGTGTGTATGTGAGCCCCAAGAATGAGAAGAGAAGTTCTAGGCAGTAGGTCCTTGCAAGTTCAACATCTTGAAGATGGAGTACTGGGCAAGCATGGGCCGGAGAGGGGCTGCCGGGTGCTCAGCACAGCCTCCCCCCTGAGAATTTGAGTTCTATGAGCTCCAGCTCTTTTTTTTTTTTAAGGTTTATTTATTTTGCAAAATCAGATATACAGAGAGGAAGAGAGACAGAGAGGAGGATCCTCCTTCCTATGATTCACACCCCAAGTGACCGCAACAGCCCGTGCATGTGAATCTGAATCCGAAGCCAGGAGCCAGGAACTTCCTCCAGGTCTCCCATGTGGGTGCAGGGTCCCAAGGCTTTGGGCCGTTCTCAACTGCTTTCCCAGGCCACAAGCAGGGGGCTGGATGGGAAGTGGGGCTGCTGGAATTAGAACCGGCGCTCAAACGGAATCCAGGTGCATGCAAGGTGAGGACTTTAGCTGCAAGGCCACTGCGCCAGACCCAACTCTTTCTGTCTTAAGGAACACAACAAATAATTAGGCTTGGGACATCTCCCAGGCCCAGGGGACTCATGAGCAAGTGACAAGCCCGACAGTACTTCCCTGGCACTGGGCTTCTTACCAGTGAAGCAGATACCAGCTGAGACTCCAAGCAGCAGGGTACTCCTCCTGGTTGTGAAGTAGAAAGATGCCATCCCCTCTTCCCACACTCTCCAAGCTTCCAGCTCTTTATTTTCCTCTCCTAGGGACCTTGTTTCCCCCCACAAAGGACTCTAGCCTAGAGCCCTGTTTTGAGTACAAAGTGGTTTTTGTTTGATGCTGTACTTTAGTTCTTCTGTTCCATCTTATCAGCAGAACACTATCAAGAATGATTATGTGGCATTTCCTTTATCTGTGTCACTTTGCCATATGGTTAATGAATGCAGAAGGCAAATAACATTGAGGCAGACAAAATAATTTCCAGTTAAAATAGAACTTTGAAAGAAGCAGTGAACGATAAAGACTAACTTGATGTGATAATGATTAGTGGATATAATTTATTAAATACCTCCATTAAGTTATTGCCTGTAATGTTGCCATCCCACACGAATGCCAGCTGCTTTGCTTCTCATCTAGGTCACTGCCTATGCACCTGCAAAAGTAGAAGAAATGGTCCAAATTCTTTGGCCTTGCCACCCATGTGGGAGATGCAGATGGAGATCCAATCTTCTGATTTTGCCTGGCCCTGATATGATTGTTGCAGCCATTTGTGGAGTAGAACAGCAGAAGGAGCCAGGCCCGAACCAGGTCAAAGCCAAGAGCTTGGAATTCCATCTGGATCTTCCACACAGATTGCAGGATCCTGAATGCTTGGGCTGTAGTCCACTCTTTTCCCAGGGAGCTGATCAGAAGAGGGGCAGTTAGGACTCCATGTGGGATGCTGGCATTGCAGGCAGTGGTCTAACGTGATACCCCATAACTCTGGGGTATCATCTAATACCTTCATTAAAAGATCATGCAAATCCTCCTAGTGCTTATAGCTTGATTCATTCCTTTGTCCAAAAAGTGTATGAGCAGTATGCTTGTTTGTGAGTGAAATGAATTTCAAGGCTATGAGGTTGTGTCTGGTCTGTTTGGCAGAGGAAAAGACTGGTCAGTCCTGGTGTGTCTTCTTTGCAAGTCCCTTGGCACACCAGGCCTGTGCTGGCCTCTGTTGTGAGTGCCAGCCCTTTTAATCTTGTTAGGAATGTGGACCCATGGACTTTGGAGGTTGGCCTGAAGCTGTAGATGTGTTGTAAACTCCCGAATGAGGAATGGTATTTGCAGATTTTATGAGGAAATGTTTTTTCTTTCTTTTTTTTTTCACATTGACTGCTTTTGAAAAGCTTGAACAATGTTCTGTGCTTTGTAAATAGGCTAAGATTTAGACTTTTCTAGTAGACATTTACAATTTCTATCACTTGCATAAGTAAACTTCATCTTACTTTTGAAAAAGATTTAACTAATTAACTAATTTAATTATTTTGCAATAGCAAGAGAGAGATATCTTTTGTCTGTTGGTTCACTCCTTTTTTTTTATAAACCCATTATTTATTTTTTTTTTAAGATTTATTTTTATTTTTATTGGAAAGGCGGATATACAGAGAGGAGAGACAGAGAGGAAGATCTTCCATCGGATGATTCACTCCCCAAGTGAGCACAATGGCCGATCCTATGCCAATCCGAAGCCAGGATCCAGGAACTTCTTCTGGGTCTCCCACGTGGGTGCAGGGTCCCAAGGCTTTGGGCCGTCCTCGACTGCTTTCCCAGGCTACAAGCAGGGAGCTGGAAGGGAAGCGGGGCTGCCGGGATAGAACTGGCGCCCATATGGGATCCTGGGCGTGCAAGGCGAGGACCTTAACCACTTGCGCCACCGCGCCCGGCCCTATTTATTTATTTATTTATTTATTTTCACATTTTATTATTATTGCTATCATTCTACAATACAGTTCCATATTCCCCTATTCCCTC